ACGGGATTAGCAGGGGTGCAGCAAATCATTGTATAGCTTGCAATAAGCAGTTGATTCTTCTGATCTTAGAGCCTATAGGAGCAGCTGTCCTGTGGCCTTCCACGGCCTCTTGGAAAACAAACAGAAATTATTAGATGTGTCATTTTATTTGCAGTCTAATTTTGCTTATTTTCTAAAAGGCCACAATTTAATATGTGTGCACAATAAAAGCAATATTCAAGTATCTTGTGCGTGATGCTTTCTCTTCTTAGTGATGGCACAGATAGGGCCTCAAATGCTAATTCCATAGAGACATCCCAGTAGATCATCATTCCATGTCTCCCCGCACATTTATCCCGAACACTTCATCCTGCAGGAGGAAGAGCTGTCATTTCAGATTCTGAGTAGACAAATGAACCTGAAATACCGTCATGTGAAATTACGTGGTTGCCTGTGTGTTGTTGTTGCTAGTAGCCCCGGGCCCATTAAGAATTCGCACTCCCGTACAGAAATGCCTGGGACACTCGCACGGAGCTCAGCTGATCGCTCCGTTTGGAGACCAGAGCGGCAGGAAAGGTATTTTGCACTGTTGGCAGCCAGAGAGGAAACACTGTGGGACAGAAGAGTCATGAGATTGAAGTTCACTTCTGTGGCGGGGTAAGGTAAGAGAAAGCCAGTGGGATGTCTGGACAGCTACTGCACATACTTTCTTGAGAAGCACAAAACGCCATCTCCAGCGGCCGGCATCAGCACATTTTACGAACTCACAGTTCTCAACAACGATTGCCTGTGACACAGAACAAAGCTGGAAATACATCAAGTATCAGTAAAGTTATCCTCTGTAAGCAAACAGCAGCTCTGGCATTTTGGAAAACAGAATGAGCTTTAGAAATGGCTGAGGATGCCAAAAAGTTCACAGAAAACACAGAAGAATGAATATTCTCCCTAAGTATTGCTTCCGTGATACAAACCCTTCCGCAGTTACCAACTGTTTCCATTCCCAGAAATAAGACTCTTCATCCCAGTGGACTGTCAGCGGCTGCACAAGCTGTGAGAAGGAAGATTAATGCACGCTGAGATGAGAACACACTGTGTGAGCATGCAAAGTATTTGCAGATCGTTAGTCATTTTGACTCAGACATGAACAACCTCATGTTTGTAAATTACTGGACATCAAAATAAGCATATCATTTAAAGGGTAGAGGAATAGAGTCAGGGTTATGCACTTAATTATATTTTATATAAACAAGACAGGTAAAATAAAAGTTCACATTAAAAAGTAAATAACTAGAAGGAACCCTCCCTGCCCCAAAGTCCGGGCCCATGCTAAGCCACCTCCTCCCAACAGGGCTTTGTGATCTGCAATCACCTACTGCAGCATTAAAGGCATTGCTAGAAATTACCCATAGGCAAGAAGCAAAACTGACTGGTTTTTATTTTCCACATTAAATGAATTAAATGCAAAAAAGCAACTAAAGATCTTAAGATAATTTAAAAAATATTTAGCTGTAGTTATCTATGAGGTTACTTATAACGCGAACATGAATCCTGTGACTTTTCTTTATGTCCAAATGCACAAAAGACACACACAAAACGAGGCACATCTGCAAAGTGCTGAGCCCTTGCACATCCAGCTGAGTCCGCAAAGCAGCCCATATCTCAAATCTCTGAACATCAAGGCAAAAAAATGTTAAAGTTACTGACCCTTCATAAAAGTCCCATAGAACAGCCAAAAGCATTTTTACTGAAAAAACTATTTATTTGTTTAACATAAAATATCTAGTGTGGAATTAAACTATCCAATGTTGCATCAGTAACATAGGAACAAAAGGAGTATTTTACAACAAGCTCGATATACACAAAGTTTTTAAACATTAAAATGTATCCAGCTTAGAAACTGTACATTCAAACACAGGAAAACATTCAATGTTCGTTCGGCAAGCATTTAGGAATAATAAATCATTCCATCAAAGCACACTTGGAGAATTATTTTTCCCACAACAGCTTTGCACATTAATATATTGGACAGTTAGCAAATCTCTGAATCCCACAATTCTGTTTGCTCTCGATTTTAATTCAAAATTATCTCACTTTATTGTTTTAAATGAACTAGCTATATTAATTCCTTCATCAGTGAAAAATACTCGACAGTGTGTAAAACAATCTTTGGAAGCTTCTTATATACATCAGTGATGGTGCCATATTAACAAAATATGACTTGTGATTATTTATAGGCTACTGTGTATCAACCCAAATGTTCTTCAGTTTTTCAGTGCACAATCTCAAACGTCCTTCCGTTGTAAATAACATGCAAGGACCTGCAAAACCTGAACTTCAGCTCTGTTTCTTCAGTGCCCAATAGGCTCCTACTGATTTCAGTGAGGTGGGATCAGCTGCGGCGGGCTCCTACCTGCCTTCCTCTGCTCAGCTGATCCAAGGCCCACGAACGTCCGTGGGAGATTCTCCCAGACCTCAGTGAGCTTTGGATCATGCTTTAGGCATCGCTGTCTCTAAATCAAAGACCCAGAGTATGAAGATGTCTCAGCAGGACCAATCTTGGCATTTAGATCATTATATACATTGTCAATGCTGAATTCATAAAAAATGAAAAGCAAAAATGCCTTCAATTTTTTTTTAATACTGTAAATGTCACAGGTTAAAACTGAACTACTCAACAGCATCAAAAGGCTTCGCATTACCTGTAAATCTTTACCTGGGAAATATTTTACTTTAAATATACATATGTGCAAATTCATGAGATATATATACTTCACCTAAAACACTCTGAATGCACACTTTGAAGGCCGTTGCAATGCAGTCCTTTAAAACTGTTGAATATTGACTCAAAAAAAAATGAAGTGATATGTGAACATTAACACTGGAAAAGCAGAATTTTAACTAAAGGCGCTCAATAACAGACAAACAAACTGAGCAGCTAGGCTGTAAGGTGGCATTCCTTCAGGCCATGGATGTCATGCACTTTATATTCTTTCTCACCTCTAATGCAGGCTTACACCCCGCTGACTTCTCCTAGAGGCCAGCCAGTTTTGGGGTGTCCAGCTAACCGTGAACACAGCTAATGGCAAGCCCACATGGTGAGAGGCATGGAGGCATCTGGACGTGCCCCCGTCAGGTGCGGACTGGCATGCTCTCAAGTGCCTTCACCAGCAGGAGGAAGAAGATGGCAGTCAGAGCTGTCATTAAAGGGTGAACAGTCCATACTATGCAAAGGCACAGCAGGTTTTCTAGCTCACTGGTCACACGTTTGGTCTAATATCTGATCTAAACGCATCCGGGAACTGCTTCCTCACTGCCAACGTCCTGTCCATCTCTCACACATCAGAGGGCCAGTCCGAGGGAAACAAGTTTGTCTGTCTTGACTTGGAGGCAGCACTGAGCTACCCCAGTTGCATAGTGCGTTAGGGAGAACTACCCAACTACAGCCTGACAGAAGGAGGTGAAAACAAATTACTTGCACTGGTTGTCAGTGCTGTGAGAGCCCTGCCTGTTTATTGGGGATCGACTGGAACTTGAGCTTGCTGGAGATTGACCACACAGGATACAGACAGCAGAGACAGAGAAAACCAAACCAGCACACAGCAACAGCCACTGGAACAGACGGCGTGTGTCTATGTCATCAGCCACATCTAAAGTGGGATCCCCTGTGAGCTGAATTGCATTTTGGCATTACTGTGAAAAAGAAAGTTTGCCTGTTCAGACCAACCACTTCTTGAGTCTTGCATTGCAGTGACCATCACAGAGTGGTAAATGAATGGACAGACATTCTGCGCCTTGTCAAACTTTAACTTTTCTCAGCAGAAGATACCCACATACAGAATATCAATAACCTCTTTGGCCTTTTTTTTATTAGTCTGAGTTTCCTCAGTTTCTTTAAGGAATTATCCACTTCTAATTTCCCTTCAGTTCTATGAACAAAAAGCCTAACATTTCTTGGAGCATTATACTGCGCTACAGTGCTGTAAAACCCTAAGTGAAAGCTGAACCCAGCTGTGTTCATTTGTATTGCACCCAAACATGGACTCAGTGACCTATTCTTGCCCCACAGAAAAGGGGCCTGGTTCCCAGAATACTTAAAATATTCTACTGTGCAAAAATCTATTGCACACTTAACTGTGTTTATGTGAGACAACTGACCACACATATTATAAAAATGTATTGCTTCCCACAGCCTAGTGATTAGCATTTAGTCCATCTCACTTACATTTGGTTGTGTGTTCCATAGCCTGGAATCCTGAAAATAAACCGAGACGTAGATGAGACGTGTCTCAGCTTCCTTATGCATTTCCTCGCTGCACATCCACAGACTCTGACACCTGACTTCCTGCATAGCGACAGATGGCTGATCAACGAGACGAACTTCTCCTCACCTGAACTCTCTTACATTCTCTGACAAGAGCAGAATCATCAGCCTCGAGGAGCGACATCTGAAGGAGTGAAGTTCCTCATCTACGGACGATTGCAGTTCAGCTCTTCCCATGATTTTTGTTCGTTTATGACATGATGCCAGCTACATTCCTTTGTCACCAGCTTGGCGTTACAGTCCATGTACAATCAGCAGCTATCAAAAAGTCCTGCCCAGCTGTCAGGAGGCCAGCTTCTGTTGGGAGACACTTGAAAGCAGCTCCATCCAAACCGCTACACGCAGCTGTTCAGACTGAGGCATTTTTATCAAAGGTTTTGGCTACGTCACCGCGAGAACATACTTGGGCAAACTGAGCAGAAACATACCTGAACCCATGCAGAAAACCACAGCGTGCATCTCCACACACAAAGAGACACCAGTACAGCTGAAGCAGTCTTCACCAAGCAACAGACAGAGTGCTCAATGATTCTGGCAATGTTAGAAAAGTCAAATTCTGCTCCAAACCATGAGGATTTACACTTCTTACATAAGGTTCCATCTCTGCAACGAATACCACTCCTCACTGACTCAAACTACCTGCCTTGAATGGGAGAAACTGTCAGAAAATCGTTTCCAAGCAATCGGTGCCTGTTAATTCTCAAGGAACAGAACCCATAAGCAAGGGGCCAAGAAAGCATTGGTTGGTTTGGCATTATCACATTTTGTTGTTGCTGTCGATGGCTAAAAAGTGCAAGGCAGGCATCTAATTCATAAAACCTATTCTGTAGTGTATGGAATCCACCGTGTGCTATGCCGTTACACAATAAATATTAATCTTTTGTTTTTAGGCATCAAGAGCACATTATTTAAATTACAGCTTATACTGAGTTGCATTCAGTTAGCTATTTGCTTGACACGGGACATTTTAAGCTGAAGAGCTGACCATGCAAGCACAACAGACTTAAGAAAAACCCTTCCTACTAAACTTCAAATGATATCTGGATCAAATGCCTCTCATACAGAAGTAAAGTTTTTATGAGTGTGAGCAAAGAGCAGCAGAGATACAATTTGCTTAGGTTCAACCCAAAAGTTCCTGCAGTTTGACACATGACATTGGCAGTGACAGTATGGCCAGCTTTCTATGCTTCAGGGTTGGATTTTTTGTGAAAGACATCTTGCTCGTCTCATTCATTCTTTCAGCAGGTTTTCATGTCCCATCATTCCTGTGATCCGGAGTTTGACCTGGTGACCCCTGGGGAATGAGATCCTCTCCCAACCATCTCCTGTCCCCATTCTCTGTGGCTGGACTCCTGTAAGCCACGGCCTTTTGTTTCAATGGGCAAGAAGCAGGAAGCCACAGCGGCCAGCAGGCAACATCCACTGTAAACCACCAGTGTTAAATAGACTGAAGATTCCAACATCACCTGCAGAAAAAAGGTAGAAAATATAAAAGTGTACCCCTGAGCCTTATCACAGAAAGAAATACAAATATTAATGTAGTAGCAGAAATTTTAATTACAGTAAAATTTTTTTTACCGTGAATTTGCAGTAAAAAATGTTTAACATGCACTGCTGCATATTTTCTTTCCTCAATGATTACACATAGCTATTAAACACTGACAAAACAGGCTGGATTAGAAGTGCCACAAGGTGCTGCTGCCCTTATGTATTAGACAGGACTTGAGCAAATCACAAATTTTCTACCTAACCGTCTGCAGAGTCACTGCTTCTGACGCAGTCTTCTGAGTCCTGTCCCTGCGGAGCCTGGCTCCCCCAACCTCCCTGTCTAGCTCTTGCCACATACCCTGAAGGTTTGTAGCCCCCAGGCCCTCAGCCTGGGATCTCAAGAGAAAGGTGGCATTGCACCATGCACAGAAACTCCCTGCCTCTCACAAATCCCATCTCCAGATGGTGGCTTCCAAGGTGTCCGTACATACATCCAGCAGCCTGCTTCTTGGTTATCTATCCCCCAACATCTGGAGTTCTAGAGCAAGAGGTAAATTCAGAGATGAGCCTGAACTCTCCTCAAGGAACAGGCAACAACAACCCTCCTTCAACACATCATGCACAGATCGCCCTTGGTTTGGCCCTTACAGCAGAAAAGCAGGTTCTCCATCACCTTCCTGTGCCTTCTGTCTCAGAAGGAGAAGGGATTTTACCTGTGCGATGAATGGGGTTATGAGGGCTCCCACTCTGGCCATTCCACTACATGTTCCCAGGCCCAAAGCACGCGTGGCTGTCGGATAAACCTGTGAACAAAGCATCAGCCCATTAACGCTAGCGGGAAGTTCTCTTCCCTCCAGTCTCCTAAACCAATGGAAATTAATAAGTGGTATTACAGCAAGTTCTGTTAGACAATGACAATGAGATCATCAACTCATATCTGGGCTGAGGTCCATTGTGAAGAGGTCATAAAAACTACTTTCCCACCATGTTCTCACTCCCCTTAAATATTCTCATTACAAAAACAACCTCCTTACCTCAGGAGTGTAAACATAAGCAGCCTGAAATCCTCCTGAAATAAAAGCTCTTGCAATGAAGAGCAGCACAGTAAGAACATTTCTGCGAGAATAAAAAGGAGAGCAGTGTTTGGGATTGTTCTGTACAATCTGTTTGTTTAACTTGGAGGCAAGTGCAATAAAAATGCTAAATTTGTTAGAACAATTCCTTTTGTCTTTTAATGAACCCTTTGTATTTTTTCTGGACCTTTAATATAACAATGACGCCAAACAATCTGCATTCCCACAATCACATCAGTTTTCTAAGTGTATTCATTCCAACTGACAGCTGTGGCCTATTGAAATAAGCAGCGGATGCCTCAGCTTATCTAAATAAGAAAAGTATATTCCACGTGATGAATGGTGCTAACAAAAAACCAGCACACATGAGAAGGAAATAAGAGTGCAGCTTTCTCGTTTAAAAGACATGAACCTATGTACCACTTGGATATTTGCAACTTTGTAAGGTTTCTTATGACAAGGTTTCTGTACTATAAGGTTTTGAACAGTGCCTGAAAAGGTTTAAATTCAGAGAGCTCTCCTCTGGCTGTTAGGTCATTTCCTTGTTCGTCAGCCCCAAGGTACAGACATTGTCGCATGCATGGGGCATGAAGGCCAGATGCAGTCAGAGGCAGACCCTCAGAGCTCAGCTGGAAATTTGGTACCATTAAGATTCAAGGGCAGAGCCGACAACTGACTTGTTCTTTGGAAAATCTGCATGAAGGACAGATACTGAACAAGACAAAAATGTGAACCCAAGTTCTTTTGAAAGTCGGGCCCCATGAATCTGCAATGCCAGCATCAAGCTCCGCCAGCCATACTGTATACAACTTCGAGGTTGTGCCAGTCTGTGTCTATTGCTTCTCAGGTAATTGTGCCATAGCACTTAGACCACCGAAAGCCCATGGCAAGTGAAGCAGTCAGAGCAGCTGAATGGGAGGCAGAGACCAGGCTTGGTTGTGAAGCACTGCCGTGGTGCAGTCAGCCTGGGGAAACATAGGTAATGAATGGCAGAGAGCAGTACACGAACCAGCTACCGAGGCTCATGACATCAGATCTGATTTTAAAATTGTCTAATGGTTACCTCCTACTCAGACATAAGCTCTTATTTTCCCCTTTGGATTGTTCTGTCTGCAGGATTATAGTGAAGGATTTCTCCTCTCCTGCTTCTTTTAGTTTCCTTCCAAACTCCGGTGAGAAAACCTAACACCATCCTTAACTCTTTCTCCAGATGAGCATGACCATCTCATGGCTTTTCAAACCACCACTGTTCTCCTGCCATAATCAAGAGAGAACATGGATGAATCAGATATACCAGTTGTTCACCGTGTTTTACTTACCTTCCAACGCAGAGAAACAGCAGAAGACTGCAAAATGAGAAGACAAAAAAGGACAGGGCCATGGTTTTCTTGCGGCCTATCCGATCAATAATCCATAGTGTTACTAACACACCTGTAGAAGGAGATAAGTTGACTGTTGGGAATTGAGCAAAGGCGGAGGCTGCAGCAGCTGGCTATTAACACAGGCTGGGTTATTTAGATTTGAAATTTTGTTGTCTCTTTCTTTAAAATACTTTGCCAGCAGAGGCATCAGACAAGGGTGTAGAATGGATTGCCCCAGCCGTTGGTGCCACAGGAGAACAGAAGCTCTGTGTCCCAGCTGGTGAGTTTTGCTCCGTGTTCACAGCCCCACTGGTCCACACATCCACATGCCCACACACTCAGGGGCTACGCACTGACGTAGGAGTGAGCAATCAACTCCAACATCTGTTAACCACGGATTATTGCAGTGGTTACCAACGTGAATGCTAAAAATGCCTGCCCTATGTCTCATTGGAATATAACTTCTCACCATTGTTCCCTGCTAATCTTCCTACTGATAGATTTAAGGGCTCTTTAGAACTTAATATTTTCTTTCCATTGTATTATTTATATGCTGCCACCAAATTATTTTTCACCTGCTCTTTGAGAAAGGAAATAGATCAAGCTCTGTAAGTCTCACGATGTTAAGTATTCTCTCTTATGCAACTTTTCCAGATCCTTTCAAAAGCAGACATACAGCAAGTGTGGGGATTATTCAAGCATCAGAGTTGCCAGTGACATATTCAGAGGTATCCCTGTTAGTATTTCTTACTCCTACCTTAGTATTTCTCAGGATCAAATCAGTCCTTTCAGCTACAGCATCGGTCCAAGAGTACATATTCTCTTTTCTGTCCACTGACACCCTCCCCAGCATGACTGTTAGGCAGGACAGCCATCCCATTAGGCAGGGACTATGCATATTTACCAGTCACAGACTTACAACTTTTCTCCTATTAAATGGCTTCTCTTTGAGCATTTGTCCCTGAAACTATAATCTAGAACAGTGAAAATAACTTGACCACTGCCTCACCGTATTGTTTCAAACAAACAGATTAATACTGACAGATCATCTACATCTGAAGAAACAATGGCTGTTTCATACTACCTACCTTGCTTGTCCTGTGTCAAACTGTTCATTCAAAGTCACTGAAATTGACTGAAAATCATGGGTGAGGCTGGACACAGAGCTTTAGGAAGCAAGTTCTGCATTGATTCACTACACCCACCATCCCTTTAAAATAGTTCTGGAGAGTCATTTATGGATAAAAGTTCAAGTGATTCTGCCCCTTTGATTTAATTGTTACTCTTCCTCTGAATGCCTAATATGTTGCTTGGATAGAATCCATAGTCAGAGGGACCATTATAGCTTCACAAAGCAATTACCAGTGATTTTATCTGTAGTGATCACACGGGGAGTGAAGAAAGCTACAGCTACTGTGTGCACTGCGTATATCAAGCAGTCCAGGCAAGGGGCTCCAGTGCTGCGGGAAATGCGTGGCCATTAGGCCAGACAGAAGAGCCCATTTCATTGCTTGCACCAGAGCCCGTTCCAGTCACACAGAACCACTAGCAGTGAAGAACGGGGGCTCCTTATTGCCACTTACCAGGGAATTCTGACAGGGTTGTCCAGAGCAGATCAGTGTAGTCTTCCTCTGTCAGATACTCACAGGTCAGGCTGCACTTTGCTTTAACTTCTTTCCTTCTACTGGATACTGTGGGAGGAAAAAGAAAAAAAACAAACATTTAATATATTTTAAGTAATCTCTTCTCTGCTTACCTTCCTTTACTCCTGCTATGTCTTTATCACTCTTACTGCTGAAACTGATAGAAGGGATGTACTGAAAAGACCCTGCTGCACAGCAGGTATGTCCTACCTGGAAGATACAGCTGCAACTGAACAGTTCATAATCTTATTTCTGGCAGGATGTCTTACCTCTGCAACCATCACTATCAGAAGGAAAACTTACACTTCCTTATCAGCCGTACAGGCTTAGTTATTTTTCAGTCCAGGGCTCATGACAGTGAACAGAATTAACGTCAATAATTCAGTTTTACCTACATCAGTTGGGATACTAACACTTAATCTATACTTTGAGAAGACTGAATAATACCATGTCTTTGTGCAAATAAGTATTTTTAAAGGATGCATGCTCTTTTGTGGAGGCTAACCAGAGACAGACCTCTCAAATAGCTAATGCACTGTTGTACAAGCTTGGGATCTGCATCCTCTCCCAAATATTATCCATCTTTTTTCTATGATTTTCCAACTATCAGACAGTTTTCACTAATTACAAGTGTTCTGAATACAATCATGCCTCCCCTGGGGATTCAAACTTTTCAAGCCTCTTCCTAATGCAGTCAAAGCACTTTTTTTTTTTTTTTAACACAAAAATCTGCACCAAAAAGGGTGATGATTTCCCACCATTATCTTTTTTCTCAGCGGGTCTTCACAACTTGAGAACCTGGGAGCTCCACAGCAGCAGCAATCTCTGTCTCAGAACTAATTAGGCCTGTCAAATCTGGAAGCTTACATTATTCACTTTTTTCTCAAGAAGAACAGATACTTTTTCTAACAGGTCTCCCTTGAAGGTTGTCTTGCTGTTTTTCATTTTGGGCTCGGAGACACTGCAGGACCTCTCTGCATTGTGAGACGAGGAACAGTCTATCAAAAATGTTTAAAATAAGTAACCCTTTAAGTGGATGCCTTAAAACTCAGGCTGGCAGCCACTGTCCTTTCCAAACTAACAGCAGAAGACGATCTAATAAAAGATGTTCCACCACTTAACAGGGTATATTTAAAAAGAAAAGATGGACCAGTACTCACTGCTGCAGACGTCTCCTGCTTGGAAGAACTCTGTAGTTAATAAAACTAACCCATAATATGAAAAAGCATTGGAAAACCTGCAAGGAAGAAAATGAGAGAGGAAGTCTCAGATGGTCAAACCTATAGTAAACAACATGAATCAAAATTGAACCCACTATGCGAGGGCTTCCACTAAGTGCTACCTCAAAGCTATTTCCTATCAGCATTTAGAAAATGAAAGGGCAATTAGATTGAGAATGCTAGTGATTGAGTGGTTTAATAAATTACAAATCAATACAGGTTGGGGGTTTTTTTGACGAGGAAGTTGCTGTATTTTAGTGATACTGTAAAATACCTCCATTAAAAACCATTTAGAATTGTGCTGTCACTGAGCCATTTATATTTCCTCTTACCATATAAACCAGAGTAACAATGTGGTCCATCTAAAATGGGGCGTAAAAAGGTCCCTCATTTTTCCTCGGTCTTCCTGTTGAAAACAAGCAGAAGTCAGATGATCAGCGCACTCGCTGGTCCAGGACTGGAGGATGCAGAGTGGCAAGGGATAACACAATACGCAGTACTATGTACTATATCTCAGGATGAGTGTTTGGTTTCAGCTGAGGGCTCTTCAGGTTGTAGGAGCCACACTGGAGCTGGGATCCAAGTAAAGAATTCCTCTGCCAAGGGGAATTCTCTAGGAGCATAACGATATCAAAACCAGTTCATGCACAGGGCACACTACTTCTCCACTTGGAAGGTGAGGATCTGTCAGAACAAGGTGGGGCTTGAACCAGGTAGAGCAGAACTTTGCCAGTCCACAGGTGGCATATGATTCACGTGGCCCACAGCCAGCTCCTGTAAATTAGAGCAGCCCCTCAGGGCTTCTGATCTAGGGTAAGGTACTGAGGAACTACAAGCAGCCCTCCTGCAAGCAGACCCCTTTTGAACTGCGTGGTTCTTAGAGAGAGAGTGGAGGGCTCAGCCCATAAACTTGTGGTTAAGGAAAAGTTCTTTCCCACCCCACCCTGGAAACAAAACCATCCAAAACTTGGAGAGTGCTCCTGCACAGCCCATCGAAATTACTGTGACTGAACCAAGCATTTGTGAAATGCAGAAGAGCTCAAATCCTCACTGATCCAGACCTTAGAAAATCAAACCTCCATCTCTGATAAGACGCTGTCATTACCAAGAGGCTCCTGCCTAGCTTTACAGTTTTGCTCTTGTTCAAATCTACAGGTCTCCCTCTGCTGTCCTTCCTTGCTGGCTAACTTTGTAACTTTCTTTTCTTATACAAGTCTGCTCTTTGTTCTGTAAATGCAGAGCTGCTTTATATGTTGACATAGGTGCTGAAAAGTTGGCCATATAAAGCTGAAATGAAAAAAAATCCAATGCAATTCATACAGTAATATGCAGCTCAGAAGTAACAGCCTAAATTACTCCACACATTAGGACTGAATAGCAGCTTGCAGCTTTCCCACTCCAGTAAATCAGGATTAGATTAAAAATTAGGTACGGCTAAAGAGTCAAATTTCATCTTATCTCATGAGTTCAGATCTGGGAATTCTGATCTGAGCTCTTTGGTAGCCTTGAGGTTTGATTTTCTTTAATAATAGGATCTTAGAGTGAGGTTCAATAGCATTAATGCCCACTTTACAGGTCCTTTTCATTTTCAGGATTTTCAGGTAAATAAAAATGTAAATAAATAAAATAAAATAAATAAAATAAAATGTAAATAAAAATAACTCTTCCTCACTATGAAAGAGGCATACATGATCATCTCTCATTTTTTTATTACTGGTTGAGACATTAAAATTAAACTTAACATTGATTATTTGCTTATAAAAATACATATGAGTGTAGCACAGTTTCATTGTCTCCCACGTTATTAATGTGCCTGTTACCTGTACATACCTGTCTGGAAATAATTAATTTTCCCAAAGGCATTGGAGCTCCATTTTCCGTTGCTATCCGCTTTAAAGTGGCAATTGCTTTTTCTTGATTTCCAGATAATACATCATACCTGGCACTTTCTGGCAGCCACTAAGAGAGCAAAGCAGAGCACATGCACAATGATGTCAAAAACACAACAAAAAACAAACTGAGGATTTTCTTTGTGGGCTGACAGTGGGAAATCTCAGTGACTCCAGCAGACTACTCACAGAAGAAAGGATTACAGAACTAATCTTTAACAACTCAGGGAACCATCTTTCTGCCAAATGTCAAACTCCTCATCAGGCTTGAAGAAACCGCAAAACCCCACTTTCACTGTAAAGTCAGAACTCCAGTCTAAAATCTTTCCCTTCTGTTACCTTGGTTTTATGCTTGAGAAATGTTAGGCATTCTTGCAGGTTCTTTACATGATACCTTCGCAGTAGGAAAGGCAAAGCATCCAGGACAGATAACAAGATGCTCTAGGCACTCCAAAATTTGCATTTTTAAGCTCCTTTTAAAAACAAGCATGTTAGCACCTGTATAACTGGCGGTATTTCTGAAAAAAAAATGTCAGTGACTAAGGAATAATAAGAGCTGCTAAACAACCTGACAAGGACATATATCTTTGAGAAGACTGAGTGATTGGCAAATATATTACTTAATAGTGCACTGAAGCTCAGGTTTAACTCATATACATCTTATTTTAGAATTTGACCTGCACTACACAGATTTTACCCCTGATTTGGGTGGATTTTTTAAGTGGGCAGAAATTATAGAAGTTATGATTTTGACAAAATAATTTAAAAATCTAAAGAGTACTCAGGGAAATAGCTACAGCTTTTAATAAAATGTTGATTCCACTGAGCTTAGTTGAAACAAAGTCATTAAATTGGAGAGGTTTCCAGGCCTGATTTGGTTTCACAAAATTCCAGCCCACCATTGTCCTCCAGCAATTACAGTCACATAAACACAACTCTCATTGGAATGTTTTTGCTAGCACCCTGTTGAAACAACAGCATTTTTGTCATTATTTCAGATGTTTCACAGAAGACATCAACAGAGAGCTCAAAACTGTCACAATTTCCTTCAAGCAGGTTACAGAATCAGGTAGGGAAGTGGTAGATTGATGGAACATACATTTGTCTTCGAAAGAATACTTACAAAACATAGGACAGCGAAGAGCAAAAGTGGGAGGGCAGAAAGAATGAGAAGCCACCGCCAGCCAAGAGTGGGCATCACCAACACTGCTAGAAGGACTTCAAACACAGTCCCAATGGCCCAAAAGACCTGCCAAAGGGAAAAGAAACAGTCACAAATGAGAATAAGTGCTCTTAAGGCCTCCTTCTTTGTAACATTCCAAGACAGGCTCTCTAGGGACAGCTGGAGAGAGAAATGCCAGAGACATTTCAAATATGCACCACTGTATGAAAACAGAGCCCAGACATTTTAAGGGGATTTGTTTAAACATTGCAGAAGCAAAAATGTTCATTTCTGAAAGCCTAGCATCGACTTTCTCTAGACACTCCTGCTTAACTGTAGGTAACTTCTCATAAGGAATAGACTCATCACATGGTGTTTCTTAAGCAAAATGGCTATTAATGTATCTGTCTATGAGTATTATTCCCAGCTACCATCAGGAGATTTATGGTATTTGTTTTCCTTACCAAAACCAAGCTACCAAAGCCACAGAGTTTGGCCTGCAGATGAAAGAAGGAATTGATACCTTCTTAGCAAATAATGGAGCTGGCATCCTCTTGCATATCCTACCCATGCAGGATTATTCTCCTTTAGATTATGACTCCAATTAGCTCATTATTTCACACTCAGAATGTATTTCTAACCCAGGGTTGCTCAGAGGAAGCCAAACTGTGGCAGAACAAAAGTGACACAGAAAGGAGTAATTCATCTACTGAACTCTACGAAAGATTAATCAACTGAACGTAGGACCAGCCAGCAGATATCTTAGAAAACGGGTTTTGCATTGAGAAGCTGTTTCAATTTGGTGAGGTTTTCCACAAGGATGCTTCTTTCAAACTGACTGATGCAGACAAGTAACAGTACTGTTCTCTGACCCTTCAACCATCCATTAAAGGGCTGCGAATTTTGCGTTAAAGTATTTATAGGGCAAAATTCTGCTCTCTGTGACTTTGATACATTTGGATTAAAAATGGGGAGCTGAATTTAGCCCTGCATTTACTGAACAGTCAGTTCTCCATTATCCATTACTGAGTTGTAGATTAATTTCACCATGAAATTAGGTGACACCCAAATGGCCCCCCTTGTGCTAACAGCAGTAACTTACGCAGCACTGGGTGCAAGTTAACTTGCAAAAAGGCGGATTCAACAAAAAGGGTGGAGCGTTACATGAATGCTTTTGGACCTGAGCTAGTACTAGTGTTTGGGAGTAACCTCAGCTCCACACTAATTTGGACAATCAAGATTTGACTGCAGCTACGTGTGAGATTTCTAGTCAGTAGGATTGAATAGATGTAACCAACAGCAGAATTTGTCCCTCTAGGCACCAGTATACATAGCTACACTGCTCACCTCTATTAATAAAATGCATTTTGCTCTGGCTTTCATTGGAAGGAATTCAGCATATAAGGTTACCCTGTAAAGAGTGAACATTGAGAAAAATGTCATGTTAGCACATTGAGAAAAATGCTACGTTAGCACAATGAGAGAGGTTCAAACATTTTGTTTGCCTTTTATTAAAATTGCCAAACCCAGAGTAATAACGCAAAACCCTTCCTAGCCTTCAGAGTCAGCAAGACAGTGGACACGGGTTCAGACTCCCCTTTCTACATCCGAACAAAACCCCTTTAGTTCATCATTGCCATGGAGGACAGAATTTGCTCTGTTCACGTGATTTTGCAACCCTATAGTTGTTAGCTAAATGTAGCAGTTCTTGATGCACATGTTTTCACAACCCTGCTCTGGTCTGGGACAGGCATTATGCCTGTTACTTTCAGTGTGGTCCACCAGCATTCAACACAAACTCTTGCTGGATAAAGTATTTCTTCAGGGCTTTACAACCGGCTCAGAGAATTCACATCAGTCTACCCTGCCAGGTTTCACTTCTCCAAGAGGTGAATACTTTCAAGGTCTGATCCTGTTACTAGTATAAAATAATTTGCATTCTTTTATTGTGGGAATTCAAAAAGAAATCATCTAACTCTGCAGAGTCTTTGTTTCATGACTGTGCCAAAGAGTAATGGTACAGGTTCTCTGTGAGTATTTCCTGAGGAGGAACGCAAGGGCCAGCAGCCAGTCAAGGCCCTCTCGTCTTCTTCAAACAGTCTGGTAAGACTTGTCGTTCTTTGCTCCTGCTCTGTTTGCATTCCATTGACTCATCCTGTTTCTGCCTCTAGACTCCTAAGGCTTTCTTTGATGTTTGTGACAAAACTCCTACTAACTTGACAAACGGTGGATTGATCTCTGAGTAGCTTCCCAGAATTCAGTTCATTAAAGTACAAAGTTGCACACAATATTATATTAAATCAGTGATTAAGAGGAGAAGGAAGTAAAATCATGTAATGAAACGTAGAGCAGTCCCCTATATATCGCAGCAGAAAACAGGAGCTGATTAATGCTGTACAGAACTGTTTTCTTAAGAGAATACTCCATATCTTTGCAAGCCTGGATGTTGGCACTGTGAATGAATAGTCATACACAGTGTTAGATAATATCTCGCAGAAAATTCCCAGAGGAGGCCACAGCTTCTCAGGTGCAGCTCCTTCATACGTATAGATAGGTAAAGATACCTATGTCATGCCATTGAAATTTAGCCACTCCTATCCAAAGTTACACAGCCTACTTAAGGATATTAGAAAGGACCTACTTTTCCTGCTTCATACATATTTACCCCTCTGTCAAAGGAATCACTATTATAGTTAGAACAAAAAACAGACTCAGCAGCAAGGGAATCCACTCTGGGTTCTGTAACCGGCTCTTCTTTGTCTCTCATTAAGTCACGTAGCCTTTGTGCATTATCTGCCCTGCTGTAAAATGGCACTAGCTGTGCCGTAGCGGTTCCACTGGGGCTCTGTGGAACATGATTAATACGGGTTTGCAGTACAAGGCATTATTAACTCTGATGCTTTGTCTTTGTTGTTCTCCTGCCTCATTCCAGTTGTGCTCAGTTGGAACTGCACGGCAGAAACTGCCTCACCGTTGGTCAATACCCAGCAGGCTAAAGATTTTCCTCTTTTACATACACGTTACGCTTTTGTGCAGCTTCTAAAGGTGGGCAGGAGACGAGTAAAAGAAAATTAATAACACTGTGATGTTCCATCTCAGCTCTGAATCTTTTAGCTGGGAATGGCAATAGAAAACACAGGATATTGACTTGCCTTGTGAAGCAGTCTATGAGCCGTCAATCAAAGTTAGACTCTGACTACTCCGAAATAGCACCTCCATGGGGCAAAATATCAATTATTAATAAGGATAAAAGACTACACAGAGAAAGAATGGCTATACTCTTCCCTTTACATTTATAATTAAAAGACTAGAGCAGAGTTATTTATTCCAGGTGGAAAATTTAGAGATCCCCCTCTTCAGTGAATGGAATGACACAGTAATAGAGAAATAGCCTGATGCTCCCTTCTTACTAGAAATGTGTCTGAGCCATCAAGTTTTGGGCTGTGTGGTTTTGGAATTCTAGCTCAGGTTCAGACATGAAAGTTCAGGCTCTGGCTGAACAATAATCTGCAGTTTTACAATCAGGAGTCAGGGCTCAGTTCTGCCTCTAAATGCTAGTGTTTAGGTCATGACCTATCGTGCAACAAGACCACGCTGTCCCTTACGGACTCCGCCAATACAATCTAGCATTGCAGTGTTTAGGCACAGCTACAAAATGCTGTCTGCTGTGTTTTACCCACTCGTAGGTGGGCTCTTTGGGCCTCTCATTTTCCCTATGGTTTACCTGAGGGAATGAGAGAAGCTTAAAAGGACTTCAGGCATATAACATATACATTCAGGAACGCAGCTTGTTCACATAGAAGTCATTGTAAATCTGATTCACCTCAGTGATGTATTAGGTATCTTCAAAGCCTTCTCAGAGTTGAATATATTAGTTCCAAATACTTAGAAAAAAATGGGTTCGGGACAACAGAACAGAGGCATGTCTTCAATTTGACATAAACATTTTTAAAAAAATAAATAGAAAAAAGGAGTTTGGATTTGTGAATATTTACTTACGACTGAGGCACTCCTCCAATCCCAAAGCCCACCAGGCCCCTCAGCACCAAGATCCAGCTGTACACTGGTGCAAAACCACTGAGGATCCCATAGTAGAGCGTCCACAACACGCTGATCTTTAGGCCCTGTATTTAACAAACAAGCACGGGGAAAAGAAAGTCTCTGCTGTAATACAAATTAACAAAATGTAAAGTAGAGCTTCAAACTCCTTTTATTTCATGGGAGGTCAGTTCTGGCTCTGCTTAATTCTGCTTCATACACATGGACTATGACATTTGTGAACATGCACTGAAACATCCACACTGTAGAAGTATCAGAATATATTCTAGTAGGAGCTGAAGACTTACTGTTTTTCTCCCATACTGGTCTGAAATGTTTCCCCAGAGGGTGGAGCTGGACATCATTCCCACAAACACCACCTGTGAAACACCAGAAAAAAAATCTTCCCCTTAACAATAAGACAAGTGAAAATTTCCATATGACAGCAAAGAGAACACAGCTTCACAGTGATACCAGAAAATTTCAGCTCTAACAATAGAAGAAAATGTCCAGGTGTTCTGGGTATAGTTCCTTTGCAGTAGAGACTATTAAAGATAATTATTCATCTAGTGGCATTTTTCAAAAGTCACTCAGCATTAGCCTAACTTCACTTCCATTGACTTGAAAGGGAATTTGCTCTTGCCCAGGAATGGGGATGAGTGTCAGCAGACTGCTCAAGCCAAGGTCTCTCAGCTTCTTCCAGCGGTGGGCCCATTTTCAGTAGTTGCCTTGCTTTTGTTGGGGTCAGGAATCGAAACACGACATAAAGAAACCGAATCTCTGCCAGGTTACTTGTCATCACCTCACCCTTATCTTACCTGTTGATTTGTGAACTACTGAATTAGACCAGTGCTGAATATTTTTGAGCTTTTGACAAATGGAAGAAAATGAATTATAAGAAATGACTGAAGAGCACAATTTGCCACTAAATGGAAATCACTGTCTTGTTTCGGGGTTGGGGTTTTTTTGCTGAAGGGTTTTCATAACCCACAAAAAAATTTTTCATCTGCTTCACAGCAAGGCCTGAGTGAGAGTTTCATTAGCATTACTGAGGGGACAGGTAAGTGGAGACAGGAGCAAGTGCCTGGGTTGGAGAGGGGAAGCACCTAGGCACCCCTCAAGTCAGCTTTGCAATTAAAAGATACTCCAGTGACAAACCAGTCTGACACTAGAATGTGCACTCTGATATACACATTGTGAGTCCAGCCCTGGAAGATGCTGAGTTCTCCAGTTCCAATGAACATATTCATGGATAAAAGCTGATCAGCGTTGCTTGAGGTCTGCAAGATAGAGCTGTTCTAGGAGCCCAGTGCTGATGCAGTACTTCTCAGCCAGCTCACCTCCAGTCTCCTATTGCCATTCTCAGCAGGTTGTCTCAGATTTGAATGGAGATAAAATTAGATCTTACAACTTTAGAAAAGTCTGCAAAACGACTGACGTGTCAAAGAAAATATATTGTACCCTTTTCAGAGGTGACACCAAAAAGTATAGCTTATTCTGTAGATGGAGAGAGAAATGAAATCCTGCTCAGTGAAGGCAATGGCAAAACCCAAGCATATTTCCCCCATCAGCGCATTAAAACCACAGGAATTTTGTCTGAGAAAGAAGTGCTTACTCAAGCAATAAGTGGGGTAAGAAGCAGTTCTGTTTGTCAAAGCTTTTGTCTCATGTCCACTGACCCCTTCGCCTTCTGATTTTGCTCACCAAGAATAAAATTGTGCTGAGCTGAAAGAGGGAACAAGGCCATGGGCTGGCTGCATTCAGGTATGGGAAAGGACATGATCTTAACTGATTTAAATCTACTGAGCATTTTGACCAATTTACACAGCAACACAAATGGCATCAAAAGCTAAAGGAAAAAGAAATGTAGGAGTTAAAGTGCATGCCATACAACAGTGGCATACGCTGAGAGAAGGGTCCCAAAATTAGTTTTCTTATCCCTAAAGGCATTACATGTTTCCAACATCATAGCATCATACTTAAATGTGGTATTATAAGAGCTCTGCTTGCAAAGATCACTGGATGATCCACCTTGAAAAGCGATTGCTTGCTTTCTCTCACGGCTCCCAGTCTGTCTATGTACAAACGAGCTTAAATGTGGTGAGAGAGAACAATTTTTAAGAAAGATAGTAAAAATTTACCAGTCCTTTTTTTCAATTAATCAAATGGTTTGAATTTTAGGATGAGTGTGAGTGAATTCATATATTTTCCTTGAAATTACATGAAACTTTGAACCTGAAACTTGCAAAATTTCCTCAGTTCTCACTGAGTTTCATTTCTTCAAGCTCTGGCTTTTAAAAAAGACTCCTATGTTCTTCTGAGCCAAATCCAATCTGCAAAGGCCATGAACAGATTTAACTTTGGGATATAAAGCATAATGTCTGAATAACAATGAGTGTAAAAACCTTACAGAATACAGGAGCTGTCAGTTATTTTTCCTACCGATGTGAGCAATGCAACCTGCCAGCTTGGTAATCGCCACTCACAATGAAGCTGAGGAGCTAGGATACTTAAAATCATCATTTCCATAGCATCTGCCATCTAGAAAGGTAAAAAAGAAACAAAAATAAATAACTGCCTGAAAATTAGATTGACATAGCAGTCAATAATATACCTTTCTGAAATTAACCTTGTTTCTGCTGGTGCCATTCCCACTCTGTACGTGAAACAAAACAGTTGTTTGCAAGGTACAGTGGATGTACACAATGTAGAGAAAAAAGCAACAGGTGCACTTTTAAACTAATTTCTGATTGTCGCAATGTTTAGTTATGTTAATTTAGTTAATGTTTTAGAGTTATCCTCTCTGGCAGAGAGGATTCAAAGAGCCAAATCAGAAGTTATCGGTGGGTGATTTCAAGGCTTGTCTGGTCAGTCATTCAGGTTCATTCACTTCCATGTTGCATATTACAGGGATGAGCTTTCAAATCCTTTACACACAGATTCAGTCAGAACTGTTTATTACCTTGTAACTTACTCCCCTTCTCCCTTATACACTACTTGTGGATTTGTATCAAATATATTGGTAGATCACCCATAGACCAAATTCCACTACTGATTTAGGATCTAAACCATGGCAGATTGCAACCTTATACGTAGACAATAGCTGGTAAATACAGGCTCCAGATATCATTATGCTAAAATATACTACAGTAGATGTAACATATGGTGCTTCAGAAACAGCAGAAAAGTGAAAACAAAGCCTGTCTTTCTGTTCTTGATATCAAAGTTAAAACTAGAAGTACTGGGTTGCTGTTCACCTGAAACTGAGATTACCATAACACTGACTAATACAAAAACAGAGATTGTAGCTAATGGGATGAATGTGGTAAAATCACTGCGTGAAAACTGAGATCTGCTTCTGTAGGAATAGCCTAGTACCCTTTCCATTTGAAACAAGCATTTGAAGCAGAGAATCAAAATGATTTTTCAAGCCCTGATTTATAAGAACTTCAGAGACAGAGAAATCAATCAGTTATTCATTACCCCCACATAAAAAGTTTGAGTCCAGCTGTCGTTTTAGAATTTCAAGTAAAATTCCTTCTCTATTGTACAATTATCTGTTTGGAGACTTTTTGTCAACAGAGAATGACTACATTATTTGAAATCACTGAGATTCTTTAACTGATGATCATGCAGTTGACCTTGATAACAATTACTTGCCCATGCTAATCCAGTAATAACAGACAGCTTCCACTGGAACTTTCCAAATCCAATGGCTTCCACCGCATCTTCCACCATGAAAGTATCTAGAAAGAAAATAATTCTAGTGCAGAAGTGTATTCCTTTCCTAGTAAGAGCCATGCCTTGAGACAGCATTTTCTGTGAATGCAATTACTTATTAACTGGGTAATCTACTGAGATCTAATATATAGAAGAAAAAGCTACTTAGCTTTTATACAGTTCCTACTCAGGCAAATCTCTATGTTCTTCAGAAATTGTGCTAAAGCCAAAGTAATTCTAAATATTCCTACAATATTTCATTCACATAGAAGTAAATCAGTGTAGCCCCAATGACTCCAGCACATGTTCAGCCTGTTACTCCTGGGAGTGACTCCACCAGCCACTGAATTGCACCTTCCTCTGGTGAGAAGTAAATGAGCTGTTTGACAGCACATAGCAATACCATGCAAGTGATGGGAAGTGCAGAAGCGTATTTTATTGCATGGAGAGTCAAACTGTAATTATTTGAATCAAGAATTTGTCCGAGACACATATATCTTAAAACATACTTTTGTTAAAAATGCTGATGGTTCTTGTTTCCCACACATTGTCATGACCTCATTATTTTGTTCTGTCTGAAGAAGAGATACCTCAAATTCCTTTGCTCAAGTGCAAAATGAAATATACAACAAAAATACATTTTGCTATTCAAGTTGTTTAAATCAATTTAAGTCTCAAACTTTTAACACTTCCAGCAGTTTAAAAAGTACATTTACCACAGAAAAGCTTTATCTAGCTAAGAATTGGACACCATCACAGAACAAAAGACACAAACACAAACCAAAAGGAAATCAAACAAAAGCTAACTGATAGAACAACGCAGAGATGTCGTAAGACCTCAGTTTGTGAGTTCAACCCAGACATTTGATGTGATGGCACTGAAGCTCAGCATATTGGGTTGTGGCATCACTTGCCCTGTTTTGGGCGATGTGCCAACTGAAATTCTACATATATCTGCAGACTTGCACTGACGCGCTGAGTCTTTTGAGAAACTCACTGAGCTCACTCCATGATATTCTGGCTTCCTATTGCATCAATATGTTAATAAATAACTCCCTGGAAAAATAGTCATCCTACAAAATTTTAGTATGCCTTATGCTAAGACAAAAACAACATTTCTCATATTTTCTAAATTGGTGTTGCCTTCAGGGCAGTCAGCACTTCTCTGCTAGGCAGAAAGCAGAGGCTGGGATGTACATTCATTCTGTCCCTCTTGTCCTCTAGGCAAGGAGGAGACAGGAACACTGCAGAGGCTTCATGCTCAGCCTTGAAGGTGAGCCACGTGTAACTGCTCCAGTAAACTTGGCGAGGTTTTAGGAGCGCTGATCAGTTTTAAAGCAAACTAAGTCAAACCTCCTGTATGAAATAGGTGGTGACAACTGGATACACAACTCCTTAAAAAGGTCTATTACTGGTAATATAAAAACAAACGCATAAAGCACCCCTCAAAGAACAAGGCAGCTAAATCATAATTTTCAGGTGTAACATAATTTGCCTGTGTTATTGTTTCCTCCTTTTATCTGGGGATCTTAAATTTCTCTAAACCCGATGTATTCAGCCTGGCTGCAACATGACTGAAATGAAGAGGCCACACCTTTCTCCTTACCAAGTTGGGCGGGAGTGTTGATCTGCTGGAGGGCAGGAAGGCTCTGCAGAGGGATCTGGACAGGCTGAATCGATGGGCCAAGGCCAATTGTATGAGGTTCAACAAGGCTCAGTGCTGGGTGCTGCACTTCAGTCGCAACAACCCCATGCAACGCTACAGGCTGGGGGAGGAGTGGCTGGAGAGCTGCCCGGCAGAAAAGGACCTGGGGGTGTTGGTTGACAGCCGGCTGAATATGAGCCGGCAGTGTGCCCAGGTGGCCAAGAGGGCCAATCGCATCCTGGCTTGTATCAGGAATAGTGTGGCCAGCAGGACCAGGGAAGTGATAGTGCTCCTGTACTCGGCACTGGTGAGGCCACACCTCGAGTACTGTGTTCAGTTTTGGGCCCCTTGCTCCAAGAAGGACATCGAGGTGCTGGAGTGTGTCCAGAGAAGGGCAACGAAGCTGGTGAAGGGTCTGGAGCACAAGGCTGGGGAGGAGTGGCTGAGGGAGCTGGGGTTGTTTAGTCTGGAGAAGAAGAGGAGGCTGAGGGGAGACCTTATCGCTCTCCACAACTGCCTGAAAGGAGCTTGTAGCGAGGTGGGGGTCGGTCTCTTCTCCCAAGTAACAAGCGATAGAACAAGAGAAAATGGCCTCAAGTTGCACCAGGGGAGGTTTAGGTTGGATATTAGGAAAAATTTCTTCACCGAAAGGGTTGTGGAGCACTGGCACAGGCTGCCCAGGGAAGTGGTTGAGTCCCCATCCCTGGAGGTATTTAAAAGCCAGGTAGATGTGGTGCTTGGGGACATGGTTTAGTGGTGGACTTGGCAGTGCTGGGTTAATGGTTGGACTTGATGATCTTGAAGGTCTTTTCCAACCTAAACGATTCTATGACTCTATGATAACAGGAAAACAAGAAGCCTACTCACCATCAGTTGGGTTGGCAAATTCTTTGGGCACTGCGGCTCCATCCTCTAGCTCAATAGGCTCTAGCTCTGTCCGAACACCCTCAATCTGAATTTCGTGTTCTCCTGAAATGACATCCTCATCTGACCTTGAACTTTCCCCAGTGCGGCGAAACTTGACCACCCTACGAATACAGAAACAAGGATTAATACTTTGGTGGGTCTTTTCCAGGTCGAAGCTGTGTTTGGTTAGTCTTGAAGCCCTATTTCATCAAACAGCAGCCAGGTTTCTCCCCACCCTCCTCTCTCCATTTCACATTCACAGAGAATGCTGTGACTTTTACTTGTATCCGCTTTTAGATATGGTATCCTGTTGGTTGCTACTGGCTTTGGAAAAACTGCAGAGGTACATTGCTATGTGATATAATCATCATTTTTGTACAAAGAGGATGTTATCGTGCTAACATATAAAGTTATAAAAACATACAGATTATATAAATATGATTAAATGATACATATTTAATGATAGCCATGTTTTACGTGCCTAGACTTTTATTGCGAATTAGACAGCTGCGTCACTGAATTTCAAGTGCTTTGTCCTTGTAGGAAGAACCCAAATTCAATTTTCCACATTGTTTTCATGAGAGTGATTTGTGTCTTAGGAGAAGCGGAACTCCTGAAATTTTCCAGATTTTTAAACATTCCATAGTGTAGTAGGATTCATAAGATAATTCAGTGAATTGACGGATTTTTTTCCATTATGGTGATGATTCTGTGACTATAAATATGATTGCTTTCACCTCTTGTCTTAAACTGAGGTCTTTACTATTATGTAATTAATTAAATACCTGTATTTTAAGAAACTATTTGATTTCCAATACTTCGTTCATCTGTGCATTTTTTGTATCTCTTAGGTAATGAGGTGGGACAGAGTAAGAAAGTGAATCAAAGGAGACTTCCTTTTTCATTAAGTTCAAGTCAAGACTGAAGAGTGTACCTGCATGCCAGTTATAGCCCTGGCATAGGAGATGATGATTGTCACATGAGCGTCATGCTCACAGCTGTCTGTATTTTATATCATTCCTGGCGCTAGCTGAGAGATAATCGTCTAATCTCTGCAGCAAGGCCACAGAGAGAATAAGACATGAAAACAGAACTTTGCTACATTGACACAACTTTCATGTTTTGGTTAGAGTGATTTTGTGCAACGCTTCATGTGTATGGAAGAGGTCCATTTTCCATCAGTTAAGTTTTCTGTGACCAAACAAAGATTTTGAAACAGATCTACCATATTTAACGTAACAAATTCCTCAAGCTTCCTTCACTTTACCTGCAACATCAGTGTAACTTTTTCACCTTGGCAGCCGATAATTTCTTGGACTTCAGTTAAATAGTTTTTTGGAAATAGATTAAATTAGTCTTGTGACTACCTCTTCTGACTTCCAATACCTGAACATTTTAATTCTACAATAAAGATTAGCAAAGAGCCTCTTGAACTTCAGTTTAATCCTCTGGTTTAAGGGTCAGCAAAACTAAACTATCAGCATCCTTGCGAACTGCAGCTGCAGCAAACTGACATGCATGTATGACATTTCTAAAGGTGATCCGAAAGACACTTCATATTCGGCAAGACCTCGACTCTTGTTTTTTCTTGCAAGTGCTGATGACACAATCAATACTTAATATAAGGGTAAAGTGATGGGCAATCTACAAAACTCCTGTAAATGGCTTTTGGTCCAATGGTGGACAAGAGGATGAAGGAATGAACATCTCAGTCACCCATGGGGTTTTTAAAAAGAGAGGAGTCCTGGCCATGACCAGCCATTCAGTCCAGCTTAGGATTTCACTGTGGTAGAAAGATAAAGCAGAGGGATACAAAACTTTTTTTCTTTTTTCCCTCACAGTCCTGGCACATATAGAGTTTGCCTGACCACATCCCATCTGGGGAATTGCACATATTCACTAATGATATTCTGGCAGTAACCTGGAGAGAGAGAGAGAGAGAAGTACAGTGACCATTTTGTGAGGTTATCACTCATCTTTAGGACAACCTGCTTTGCAGGCTGTTGAGATGTTTTGGGATGATTCTTTCAGGTAAACAGGGCATTCCAAGATCTGTATGGGGCAAATATTCCCTGTACTGCTTTAGTAATGCTCTCATCTGCAGCAGGAAAGTGAAAGCTTTTCTCTGGCCTTTATGTCTTGGCAGACAAACAAGAGAGTCACAAATTTTGTTTTCTAAGATAACATTTGAAGATCTTAAACATAAGAAGACAGAACAAAACCCCAGGCCTCTTTGAAATGAACAAGACAACTACACTGACTGCAGTGAAACTAGGGTTTCTCTCACATTCTGATTTGGGGTATGCAGAGGTCCTTCACTCAGTTATGAAAAAAGACAAACAAGCCAATGAAACTTGTCTGAATTCAGGTTCGTATTTAGTTCCATTGAGAAACTCAATTTTAAATTCTCTTAATCTGATTGGTTTTTTAACCTCAGTACAACTATCTTGGTTTGAATTTACTTTTGCTGACCCTACAGGACAAACACAGGTAATTATTACTCTCGTGTTAAAATTGTCACTGAAGATATAATCCTCATACGGCCTACAAAATACATACTCCCAGCAAACAAACACTGAAATTTGTATGCCTGTGAGATGACTTTTTTATCACAAAGGCCAATCAATATCAAAGTACCATTCATATCTTATCTATCTGTATTTTTTTAAAAGAGGACTATTACTATAACTTCAACAGTCTCAAAGCCTGGTGCAAAGTTCATTGAAGTGTACGGACACCTTTGCCCCAGATTTCAGGAGGTCTAAAGTGCCATTACTCATGGGGTTATGACTGAAAATCATTCATACAACCTATGCTTGTAACTGTTCAGTGTCCTGCTAAACCACAGGCAAAATAAACATGCCAATAAAAATCTTCCTGACTTTAAAGTACCTGATCGTGAAACCCCTGTATTACTGTTTCTTATTTGGTAATATTTGTTGAAGTAGACTTTCAGAACTGACCATTTTGGAGCTGATGGTTCCAGACACTATGCAAAGGCAGTGACTGATCTGAAAATTTTAAATACTTCAATGGCAATCTGAGTAGAGAGCTATCTGGCCACATTCCTCATCACAGGAAATAAAAAAATAGGGTTATCGCTTAGGAACCTATGAAAGAAATTGACACAAATGAAGAAAAAATCACACAGGGATATTTACTGTTCCATACTTGCAAAATTCTGCACAGCTGAGACATCTCAGACAGCTGCATTTGTCTGCGAGATCTCGCAGCACCGAATAAGTCTAGTTACACCTACATTGAAAGGTACTTCAGAACATTTTTCTGTGTTTTGTTTTGTTTTGTTTTTTTAAAAGATTGAGAAAAATGGCCTAATGAAACCATGTCTTATTCTTTTTACTGACAAGCTGAATGCATCCAAACTAAGTATTTAAAAATAACCAGAGTTCATGTCCATTTTCCCAACTTATTAGAAATGTTATGGGACAGTTTGCTCTGTCATTGACTTGAGCTGATTAATATTTTAAATCAACTTTAAGCATTTATTCCCTGCCTTGCAGAGTCAATGATTTATAAATAGGAATATGTTTCAAAGCACCTGATAATGGAGCATTAGGAGAAATGCACTTGTTTTTAAAGGAAACATTTTGCATTCATGAAAAGGAAAGGAAATACTGGTGTTAAAAGGCAGCAATGCTTTTATCACCTTTTTGCACAGATTCAGCAACCACATCCCAACAGCAAGGAGTTCCTCACAAATAATAGCATTTTCCTTGCGCAGCAATGTTTGCTTCTCCAAAACATGCAGTTAGCAAATACCGATGATACTCACTGCAAACACACCTTTGCAAAAAGGGTTCTGATCTGCAATCAGTTCGCAGCATGAAGGAGGCAACCGAGGAAGATGCCTTCCCTAGCACAACGTTATTTACAGATGCAATCCACCTTGCAAATGCAACAGCAATGTTTCCTCTCCAAAAAATCTTTTGGCACTTCCACGGTTTTATTCCACCCCTCCTTATTTCTACCACCATCAAGTTCATGCAAAAAAAAAAAAAAATTGAGTTAATTTATGTAACAAATGGATCCCTGCATGCCCCCAGGATGCTGAACCCAGGCAGCTATACAAGGAAAACGGCCTGCCTCCCGGGGCCTAAGACACTTCCTAGAAATAATTCCCTTAAAAATCACCAGGATTCACAATATCCCCGCAGCCTGTTTAGAAGAAATCCTGCGCATCCCCGCTCCCCTATCGGCGCTACTCACGGCAGCTGTCTCAGCTGGAATAAATCATCCTCCATTGCCGGGCTGCGTCTGGAGGAGCTGCTCTCATCGCTCTCGCATGGCGGGGATGGCTGGAGCTGCGGGCGGGCAGGCGCGGCCGGCTGGACAGTCCCGCCAGCCCGGCCGGGAGCGGGGCTCGGCTCCCGCGGCACCGCCGGTCCTCGTCCCCTCGGGGATCCGCGTCTGACGACCGGTCGGTCGGCAGGGTGCGGTGCCCGGGAATACCGCGGACTGGGAGGCGACGGACAAGATGGAGACATCCACAAGGAAAGGCAAGCCAAGCTGCGCTGATGCCTCCGCTCCCAGGAGAACAGCAAAGGCTCCTTGGGGAACACAGCACCAGCCTGCCGGGCGGCAGAACCCCTGAATTTTGGCAAGGGGCTTCACCCCCAAAAAATTATATTATGACAGCGAACACTTTAGGAACCCAAGGACAGTTCCTGCAAGTGATCTCTTGTAGCGACCTGGCAGGGCTTCCGAGCGTGCACTCCTCAGATGCAGAATGAGATTAGTTTGTAAAAATCTCAGTTACTTACCTGAGGAGATAGACTGTCACCCTGGCACCTGTCTCCGTCCCTGGAGGTATGTAAAAGAAGGGTAGATGTGGTGCTTGAGGACATGGTTTAGTGGTGGACTTGGCAGTGCTGGGTTAACGGTTGGACTCGATGATCTTAAGGGTCTTTTCCAACCTTAACGATTCTATGGTTCTATGATCCCTGTAGGCCGCCTTCTCCCATTGTAAGAGACGGTTTACTCGCCCATATGTCTGCATTTACAGAAGAATCCTTTGCGGAGAAAGGCCTGCAGGAGAAAATGAAGAGCAAATATCTGCCAGGAAGATGACTAGGAGACATTTGACATGATTAAAATTTGAAATACGTTTGACAAATTGGAGAAATGGCCTGAAATCAACAAGACAACGTCAAATGAAGACAGGTGAGAAGCGCTACAGTGAGGAAGAAGAATTAAGTTGTACAAATTCAGGTCAGGGAACAATGGATGAAGAGGCTTGGGCTTAGCTATGCCAAACCAAACATGCTTCAGTTTGTGAATGGGAGTTGTTCAACTATCACACAGATTTAGTTTGTGACACTAAATACTGAAAATGTTAGCAGGTTTTAGTATTTGTAAGAAAGGACTTGCAGCTGACCCAGCTAGGGTTTCAGCTTCCTTAAAAATAGTGAGAATAATTGTTTAAGGAAGTATTTGTGGCTAGGAGTGGAACCCAGATGCCTACACGTAGGCATCGGCTCCATTTTAGGTACCTGTGTATCTTCTGTGGCCGCCAGCTGCGGATTTTGCCCAGGACCGTATGGTGGATCGCATGGGACCATGTGGTTATCTCAGGCACCTTAGGGCTCTCTCACATGGATCAAGATGCCGGTGCTTAGGCAACTGAATACTACCCTGAAAGTGTGATAAAAACAATTTTAATTGCATGAAATGCATGCATGTTCTGTAATATATTCTCAAAAGCATTTAAAAAAAGGCTTTTTCAGAGAACATGTTTTGAGAACTTGTTCAGGATGTGTTTGGCATCTCCCTCTGCTCTCCATTGTCACCTCTCTTGCCATTTTCTGCTTATCCTTCACAGACACACAGATAAACAACACGACTCTTCAGTCGTGCAGCCTTTTACTTATCTTTGAATTGGGCGGTGATGCATTCGGGCTGAAGAATGGCGTTGTTCCACCCATTCGTTACAATAAAGGAGCTCAGCAGTTTATTTGGAATGAAAGGCAGCCTGGCCCATCGCAATTAAAAAATGAAAGGCCTCAGTAGATAAAACACCTTCCTGATTTGCAAGTTTTATGTTTCCTCTTCAGAAAACATGGGTTAAAGAAACCACAGTTCAATGCTTTATATGATCCACGAAGTCTGTTTTGTTTCACTGGGTAAAATACTGCAGATAAAGTCAGTACAACGGGAGGAGTCATTGAACTGAAACTTCCAGAGGAAAGCAGTCATTGCGGGTCTTTATCAGAGCGGTCTCAGCAGAGCACCCTGACTGAGTTCCAGGATGAGATTTATCCACAAAACATGAGTTCACCAAGACTCTGGGTTGCTTCTCCCAAAAACTTCCTAGAAAATGGCATTTTTCAAGCAGAGTTTTAGCTTGTAAGTTCATTGCACAAGCAACAACTTTCTTTTTAGAATACAGCAGCTAAATTACTTTTTTACTAAATAAGGTCAAATTTTCTGGTAAGTTAAGGGTGTGAGATTTGGCCTCTAAGCACGCCGCTTCTTTTGTCTCACGGATTTAATGTGCATGAGGCAGCCATGAGAATGGTACGTTGCAGACTGACACTGCAACTATCAGGACTTTATTTCTTCACATCCTTCTTCTCGTCTGTCTGTCGCTCCCGTTTCTCTCAGCGTCTTGCTGTCTGCTCTCCTACTCTCCAGGCTGCTCTCCTCTTACGAGCAGCCTTCTGGCACGTGGGGAGCAATGTCAGGAGAACGAGGACTCGGCCAGAAAGACACACAGGGAGTACCAGACACTTTGCTAACAAAGGTTGTTAGAATTAATCTGGGGAGGTGTGAAGAGGGAGACGGTTACCTGCCAGGCCCACAGACACGATCAGCAGCTGCCATCTCGAGGTGCTCTCAAAAGCTGCATGTGTCAGTCATTCCGCCTGCAAGCGCTGCCGGGTGCCTCCTCTCCTGGCACTGACGTGAAATACTTCTTTCTCTAAACGATCCCCAAAATGCATCAGTTAAAAAGACAAACTAACAGCACCAGGTGGAGAGCAAACAGAGCGGGGCCCTCAAATATCAGGTAGAGAGGGTGAGGGTGTCGAGGCAGTACGGAGGAGCCTCAGGGCTGGCGTGTGCTATGCGGCGACGAGAGCTGTCCTCTCTCCGTGGGGTTTGGATGGTTTCATAGGATCATAGGATCGTTTAGGTTGGAAAAGACCTTCAAGATCATCGAGTCCAGCCGTTAACCCAGCACTGCCAAGTCCACCACTAAACCATGTCCCTAAGCACCACATCTACCTGGCTTTTAAATACCTCCAGGGAAGGGGGCTCAACCACTGCCCTGGGCAGCCTGTGCCAGGGCCTGACAGCCCTTTCGGTGAAGAAATGTTTTGTAACATCCAACCTAAACCTGCCCTGGCGCAACCTGAGCTTGTGGGATTTAAGTGTCCCACCTCCTCCCCCCAGCTTTGAGACGCACACCCCCACCCCCACCCCACCCCCACA